TACACATAACCAAAAAACAGTATTTTAATTATTGCACTATATTAAATTTATTTGATTGAAATTAAATACATAGTGAGATTTACCTGGTATCTAGTTTGAAGGAATTTACAAGAAATGATGATTAACTGGAGCCAAATTAATTGCATTTTCTCTGCATAGCTGAACATACACATATACATGTAAATATATATGCTTATCTGTGTGGGGGTGGGGGGGTGTGTATATATATATTTATATGATCACATTTCTGTGTGGGTGTGTATGAAATCTGTTTAGGGTGTGCATGTACTTATCTTTATATAGTGTATATTAGGTAAACAAAATATCTTAATGAAACCTTGCCAAAGTATATTCTCTAATTCCTGAACAATAAAAATCATAAATCCTGTGTTTAGTTGAATTAGATGCTGAACTAGCCACTTTTTTCCATTGATAAGCATTTTTCCTCAAAAACATGACTGACAAACTATAGCTGTTTAAATGTTTATAAATAATTTATTAAAAATGAATAAGTGGATCCTGTTATTGTCAAGGAAAACAGACAATATTTGTTACTGGTGATAAAATCTGAGCTTGCAAGCAAAAAACTGAAATTTGGAAATCTTTTTTCTTATTTTCAATAAACTATGTAATTTTCATAATATGTTGTATTATCAGGCTTGTCACTGCTATTTTTAAATAATTTAGTAAATAAGTATTTAAAATTATTTGTTTTAATTTTTAATATGGTAAATATTGATAAGCATTACCCATGTCAGCAAAAGGTATTTGGGGTCTTCATTAATTTCTAAAAGTGTAAAGGGGTCCTAAAACTGCTGTCTGGAAAACTGAGTCAGCCATGTTCTATCATAGCCATATTTGAAAACAAATATTTAATTATATCCCTTATCTAATACTTATTATATAAGAAAGTGATCTCCAGCCATTCAACAGAGAGAAGCCCACTCATTTTGTGACTTTTGTTGTTCCAAGGACAGATTCTTATTCAAATAGGAGGTAAAAGTAGATCAGCGTTTCTCCAGTGAATGTGGCTCCAACTGCAAGCAATGTTTGGCCGTGCTGACAATTGAGAAAGGCCACATGCTCTTCTATCATAGACTTATTCAAGCACCTATCTGTCCATGTACACCCAACTTGCTTTTTATTTTACAGTTAGTCTTTCAAGAAATACTTTACAAAGACCTTTGTGGCCAGTTAGTAATGCTATTAACAGAATAGAAGTGAAGTAAGACAAAAATTAACTCTATGAGTCTTCTTTAAAATTTATCCTGAAAAATATTTGTGATACTTTTCTACTTATTGAGCAATACAAAATGAGGAGACAATTCTAGTCTATTTTCAGCTTAATTTTTTAAAATATCAAATTAAAATATCCATTCTGTACACACACACATAAACACATACTCATCCATAAAACTGCTTGCTAATTCTCAAAACTTCCATATAGTCAGTAATTACCTGTCCTTGATTTTTCATAAGCTTCTGCTATCAAAAGTAAAACATATGTAGCCCAGCATCTTTGTAAGTACTGAATCTATTACTAAGTTATTTCCTGAATTCATTTTTAAAATGACATTTACTTTATTCCTCCTCTTTAATAAATTATTTGAGGCTTCATTTAAAATTTCCTGAATTCATTTTTAAAATCACATTTACTTTATTCCTCCTCTTTTATAAATTATTTGAGACTTCATTTAAAATTTCTTATGTGGTATGGATCAGGATATTTCTTGCTGCTGCCAGGAAAATGAAACATTCCCAGTTACTAAAATGGATATATTTGACCTTACAATTTTTTTTTAAAGCAGGCCTAGGACAAATTTGTTATGCTTTGACTTCCCTCTGGATTCCCATTTGGTTTAAATTTCCGGGAAATCTGCCTGTGGGAGAACTGGGAGGCCAAGACTATAACTGAGCCGTCAATCAGATGCAATGGTGTAAAGAAGAAGCCATATGGCTCGCTGCTATTTTTCATGTTGAAAAAATGACAAATTTTTATATTCATTTCCCACCAATTTAATTACACTGTATAGAGAAAATATGCTTTGCAATACATGCACTGATCCAAGATTCATTTTTTTCAAATTAATGTGTGCTGTGACTGAAAACCCATATTTCTATTCTTCGAACTAGTGATAAAAGTGTAAGAAGAACACACAGTTAAGTGTAAAAAGCCGTGATTTTGAACTCAAACAGAATTGGAATCATTCCATATGTGTACAATGGATTTAATGTATAAAATATTTATTTAATTAATGTCCTATGTGCTTAAACTGAGATTAGAATAATAGATACTGTATAAGGTTTACAACCCAGTTACAAAACTACTTTGGTACAATTTCAGCATATGTGTCCTAAAAAAATTACACCATATTTTTATAAATTAGATCATGCTTAAAAATGCCATGAGAATGCTTATTTAAAGGAACTACACTATATAACTAAGAACTACTTTATAAAGAAAAATTGCCTTCTCAATTTTCTCTACCATTTTCCTTATCTTGCTTTGATTGTTCACTGCTTTTCTTGCATAGATTAATAACTGTGTGATACACTGATAATAATACTCATTATAAACATTATTATATTGTTTGTTTTTCATGTGTGGGTATATGGTGTGTGTATTCATACATATGATATATATATGATGTATATAGTATATATATTCCACCTGTATACATATGTGTAAAACAGCCCCCATCACTACTTGCAAAAGTACATTTTTTAAAAATATTTACTGATTGAAAAGTTTTTCAGTTTTGGATTCCAGAAAACTCAAGGAAATGCAATATAAAAACCTCTTAACACATATAAAGTGCCAAGATTACCTATGTTCCACTTACAGAATGGAATTCAAGTTTACTGAGCTTGACAATGAAAGAAAACACTAAATAGAATAAGGATAAATCTAAATGCAATTTTACTTATAATATTAATAAATCAGATATATTTGATGAGAGGCAATTTTAAATGGTTCTGTATGACTCAACCTCTCTATCAACATAACAGATTTTGATAGAGCTGCGTAGAAAAGATTTAATTGAATTTTCAAATTCAATATAGGGTTCACTCAACAGCTTACAAAACATGATAAGCAGAGCACTTGCTCAGCTTTTCCTCCACTGCTTCTAAATCTTATTTATAAAAGTTTAATTTCAGCATAATTACATGAGTTAATCCAGTGAACAGTGAGTCTGATTGTACACATTTTCTTAGTATCTCAGGAGAACTTCAGCTCTGTCTTTCGCATATCATAGCGCCACAGTGAGGAATTTAATGACCAACCCAACCATCTCCTTTACAATGGTTTAAAGCAAGAAACATTTTATTAAAATGTGAATCACAGGTAATGTGTTGGTCATAACCTATGAAGTATAGTCATCTCCTAGTTAAACACAAAATAGAAATTTTCTCTTCATAAAATTATTTTTGTAAAGAGGAGAAGAGCATTCTAATAGTGATTTCTCCTCACTGCATTATTTTCATATTAATGCCCTTCAAAGGCTTTGAGTCAAACAAATGTGTTCAAGCTTGTTTGTACCACTAGTAAGGCACTTGAGAAATTATTTAAGTATTGTGATCCTAGTTTCTCATCTGTAAAATAAGAATGATAATATTGCTCTCCTCAAAAGGTTATATGAATTATAAATAAAATTAAGTAAGCTTTTAACATGGTACCTATCACATAGTACGTGCTCAGACGGGGGGATCAGAAAACATTCCTGAAAGGTAATAATAATAATAAAAGTGACAGCAAGAATAATGACACTGTACTAAATATTTACATGTATTATCTCATTTAATTTTAAAACAATAATATAAGGTGAGTACTATTGTTACTTCTGTTTTGCAGATGAGCAAAATGAGACACAAAGGGCTTTCAAGAAACTTGTTAACATAGCACAGCTAATAAAAGTGCAGAGATTGAATAAAATAGCAGCATTATCATCATATTATTATCCTCATCATCACCATTATCAACCCGTCCTGAGATCTCTGTAGCAGACTAGGCTATAAAAATGAATTCTTGAGTACTTCCAAAGATAACTGTCTCCCCTTGGAAAGAATCCAGAACAAGCCCACATTAAGCTAAATTCTGCATTAGAGTGGGCTGTTATACAGTTGGGAGGATTTATTCCAAGCACCTAGAAGACACATAAAAGATGAATAGATAGAATATGTCAGATTTTCCCTTACTTTTAAACATATCCCAATGCAATGAAGGGAAGGAGGACAATATCATTTCATCCCTTACACAAAGGCATTTTTTTTTATCTTGGTATCATTAATATACAAATACATGAGCAACATTGTGGTTCCTAGATACCCCCATTTTCAAGTTCCCACCACATATCCCATTACAGTCACTGTCCATCAGTGTAGTAAGATACTATAGAGTCACTTCTTGTCTTGGTGTTATACTGCCTTCCCCATGCCCCCTCCTACATTATGTGTGCTAATTGTAATGTCCCTTATTCCCCACAAAGGCATTTTTAAACATTACTGCAATTAGCTCATCTAGTTGTCAATACCTAAGGAATCACACACAGAGTCAAAGATGGACATGCACACCTTGCATGAAGTATGTTCTGCATTATTAATGAATTATAAAAATGAAAAGTATTTTAGTGTAAACATATAAGTCTACAGAAAGGGATTGAAAATAAGAAGGTAGAGTTTAGTCAAGCTGAATTCTATAAAGCTTTTTAAGTTATTCACTCATTATATCTCCCCTATCTATTTAATTATTAAAAATAAATGTATAAGTTGAAGTATTTTGGATATAAATAATGAATGCACATTTTCTTAAAAAATACTTCAATGACTTATCATATATATTTAATCATTTTAAAACATTCATATAAAAGATGGGAATTGGTGATTTCATAGAAACATCTTAACACATTATTTAACTAGATTACAGATAAACAGAATACAATATTAATATAAACACATTCTCATTTATTCTTTCAAAAACCTAAATGAAATCTTCCAGATTTTTAATAGTAGAAATTTCTAAAGTGTTTCAAATGACTTTTAACTTTATTTTTGTAATTATCATCAATAGACATTTAAAGCATGCTGCGATTTTTCTTTTAACCCAATTTAAAAACATTACTATTAAGGGTGCCTGTTCACTAATAAATTTAGAAACATTCATAAAAATTGGAGGAATTAAAAACACTTGTTGTTCCTGGAGACTCAACAATGTTATAATTAATATTTGGAAGACTTGATAGATAAAGCCAAACACCAGTAGAGCATTTCATAACAAGACTGTTAATGGAAAAATCACCTGAATATAACATCTGATCACTAAGGAAAATATACTCAAAGGTATTAGAATGTCGAGTTTTCACATCTCAAAACTGCGCCACCTCCTACGTGACAATCACATTCCTCCCATGCTATGTAGGAAAAATCAAAAGCAAGACCTCACCACCCCCAACTACTTTTCAGAAATTCTCTTTTCACTTCTTGACACATTTGGAGGTCCATCTCAGGTCAAGATCAGACACTAGGAAGGATACCCTTTGAATGGACTTATTTCCCCTCTTCTTTGTCATATCCTCTTAGTTGAGCAAACTGACTCAAACCTGGGCAGTCAGGAAGCAGGGAGGGAGGATGGACTAAAGGGAGCTAGCTAGACAGGGGAGAGGGCAGGGATTTTTATCACCCAACAGACTCTATAATGGATCATTTGTGTTTATATACTCCCAATTAACTAGTGGTCATATCTCTAGTTATGATTGTTTTAATCACGATTGAAGCCCAGTTGAAAATTTTAGATATTTAGCAGTTGAGATGAAAATCTGGAGTCAGAAAGCACAGGATTTTAATCCTTTCATATACTCCTTCACATACTCACTATGTAACTGGGGCGGTTACTTAGTGCCTGTGAGCTGCTGAGTTGAGATCTGCAACTAAGGGTGACAGCATGATTTCATGGAATCATTGTGAGAATTCAGATGCTTTCCTGGGCCTTACACTTAGAGGGTGGTTATTGTTATAATTACTTCTACAGGACACCATTAATTACAACTGAAATCCAGGGTCCCAGTGGCAGTGCCGGAGACCGACAAGCCTCAGATGCCTTTTGCTAACCTCTGGTTACCTGGCGGAGACCTCCCTTTTCACCCAAAGCTCTTATTCTTCTCCGAAAGTTTCCCTCCTCCTTCCCACAATCTGTAAAGCTAGAGCAGGCCTTTACTGCTTATTATTTGGTTAAAATTATTCACACTCAAGTATGCAAAAGGCCTCACAGAACTGTGGACTCTTGCTTTTTTCAACACCCAAATAATATATAATTGAGCTGTTGGGGGGCATTTTCTCTCTTTGTAAGGGAAAGCTCTGCTACCTTAAAAAAGTTCATAGCACAGTACTAGACATGATGATGAACAATATACCAGGATAAATTTAACTCCTCCATATTTTCTATATGACAGAGGTTTTTATAGAGGCAAAAGTTTACCAAATGGATAGCTGTCAAAAGAACCAGGACCTATCAATATTATACTGGCTTTCAAAATTTCACTGAAGTTACTCTTATGCTCAAAGGAATGTGTTAGCTCTACAAGAACAGGGATCTTGTCTGTTTCCTTCATGGATCTAGCTGAAGCACCCAGAATAGTTCCTGGTACACATACTCATGTGTTGAATAATAATAAACATATGTTGAAAATCACATAAAATATGTCATTAAACTCTTGCCCTTCTCTAGAAACTTGCAAAATCAATTGATAAAAGCAACTGCACTTTGATTTATTTTAAATCACAATAAAGTTATGTCCCAAGCATTGTGTTTATGAGGGCAGCCTCTGACAATTAGACCTTGGTTTGACTTTGGACCATGTGACCCTAATAAATTATTTAGTTGCTCTGGGCCTCAGTTTCTCTTTCTGTAAAATGGGTATAGTGTTACCTCACAATATTATTATGGTTAAATAAGGTCCTGAATGAGTAAAGGGACTACAAAATTTCCTGGCATACAGTACCCAATAAATATTGGCTATTTTATTAAAATGTGAAATTTTACTAAGGAAGGCTTTGAGGTCTATGAAGTAAATGGGAGCCAATTGACAAAGTCAAAATTAAACTGCCGCGTTTCAAGTCAATCTATGAAAACCTTCTCACTAGTGTATGGAGCTGCCTGCTCATCTCTTCATATATACTTCCTCAAAGTACTTAAAAGGAAAAAAAGAGGTAAGTGTGGTTCATTCTCTCTTGCAAGGACTTTTTAAAAATGTAGGATTCTCTGATGCTTGCTGGAAATAATGAGAAAACCTTGAACCATGCATGCCACACAAAGTAGTTGCCATAACTGCCTTAACCCTGAATTTAGCAGACTTATGCAACTGGAAAGTCTTTTCTTGCACATTGGTGAGCACACAGATTCAAGGAAACGGGACTCTAACACTGTAATCCTTTAAGTGTCTTGAGGATGAATGTGCTGTTCCGAGTCATGGAGCGCCTCGCTTCCTCCTGCGGTCTCACCTCCCTCGGCTGCCTGCCTTCCCCACAGCTGGTGCTGCAAAACGCGAACGGCTTCTAGCGAGCACGGGCGGGGGCGGCCCTCTCCGCGGTAGCCGGGGGGCCAGAGCCGGGAGGCGGGGGCAGACGGGGCGAGGCTAGGCAGCCGAGCTGCCAGCTCGGCTTTCCTGCTGCACCTGTAAGGCAGACCTCACGTTCAGACCAGGAGGATCAAACGAAGGATACGTAACCAGCCACGCCCGCTGAGCGCAGCCCAGATGTGCCCGGAGCCGCAGGTGAGTCACCCTGCCCTCCTCCCCACCCTGCCGGTGTCCAACAGGTTGGCCGGGGGCGGCCCCGTCACGCGGGACGGGTGCTGCACTTCTAGCCTCACCTGAGCCAGCGCTTGGCTTCTCCCTTAATCGCATCGTCGTTACTATTTTAACTCCTGCCCCAACCCACGCCTGTTCTATTCCTTGTCTTTTTGCCTCCCCTTCTCCAAAAAAATGAGGGCTCCGCTCTATGCCGGGAACGCGCCCAGAGCACCCGCTCCCCGGGAAACTTGTAGGGACAGAAACGGCTCAACCGAAAGGCGCAAGGTGCCTCAACACGCGGCGGGAGGTGCCATTGGTGACCCCTAGTTCTTAGTAACTCACTGGGACTGCAATTAAAAGTCATCATTAATTATCCTTATTTTTCAACCAGGAGGTCCAAACTTGAGGGAGGAGGGAGAAGAAAGTGGACCGTGAGTGTCAATCAGATTAGAATGAGAGTGAACCGGAGAAAGTGATGCGGCTCCCGGGCCCGCAGCGCCCTTCCCCACGTGCTCACACCCCCAGCGCACCCTCCCGGTTGGCCTGTGAAGCCGCCACAGTAGAAGAAGGAGGAATATATATCCTCAATCTGCAAAGGACTCAGACCCGGTTACCACTCACTGTGCTTCCTCCACTCTCCGTTCTGGTCCCCCGCGGTTAGGAGCCTTGCCATCCCACTCGCTTGCGTCCCGCCCAGAGTCATCCAGGCCTGCCCCCTCCCTCCCACCTGCCCCCCGTCCTACCCGGCAACTAGCCGGCAGTCCTACACCTCCCGGCTGGGGTCTCAACTACAAAGTTGGGAAGAGGGTAAGTTCGGGAAGTGCCACGGGGACTGGCAGCGCGTTCCGGGGCTGTCCTCGGCGTGGGCCGCCGCCGGGCGTTCCTCCGGGCGCGGCCCCTGCTCGGCTCCCAGCGCCGGCGCGCCGGCACCTGTGCGCGGCGGCCGCGCCCTCGCAGCTCCCTAGCGGCGAAGAGGGGAACGAGCACGGGGCGAGGAGGGAGGGGCTGCGCGGGTGGGAGGCAATCCCCGCGGGAGCCCGGGAAAGCCCGGCCGCCACCCGGGGCCGTGCCGCCGCCCTCGCGGGACCGAGGCTTCCGGCGCGCCCCCAACTTCGCGGCGCCCTCAGGCAGCGGCGGCTGCGATGGAGCTGCGTCCCCGCGGCCGCGCGCTGCTGGACTCGCCGCTGGACAGCTGCTCCCTGACCTCGCTGGAGTCCAGCGTCTTCTGCAGCGAGGGCGAAGGGGAGCCCCTGGCGCTCGGGGACTGCTTCACGGTCAACGTGGGCGGCAGCCGCTTCGTGCTCTCGCAGCAGGCGCTGTCCTGCTTCCCGCACACGCGCCTTGGCAAGCTGGCCGTGGTGGTGGCCTCGTGCCGCCGCCCGGGGGCCCTGGCCGCCGTGCCCAGCCCCCTGGAGCTCTGCGACGATGCCAATCCTGTGGACAACGAGTACTTCTTCGACCGCAGCTCGCAAGCGTTCCGCTACGTCTTGCACTACTACCGCACCGGCCGCCTGCATGTCATGGAGCAGCTGTGCGCCCTCTCCTTCCTCCAGGAGATCCAGTACTGGGGCATCGACGAGCTCAGCATCGACTCCTGCTGCAGAGACAGGTACCGGCGAGGCGCGCGGTGGCTGGGCGGGGGGGCGGGCGCGGTGGGGAGAGGGTGGCAGAGGTAAAGATTTGACGCTTTACACTAGCTTTGCTGAACCCAGGCTTAAGAGTACCTGTGGCCATTTCAGAGCGGGAAGATGAGGTGGCGGTGGGGACTGCAAAGAGTCAAGGCCGGCTTTTAATTGGAACTTTTTGAACCTTCTTTTTGGAGAGAGTGTGTGCCAATTCATTTGTACAAGGGCGGTCAGGCCTGCAGTAAATATTTGGTTATTGAATAAATGAGTCAGAAAAGCTACACTTAAAAAGATGTATGTGTACAGAACCCAAGAATGGACTAACAGTTGCCAAAGGGAAAGGTACTGGAGTGGGTGGGGGGAGGGGTACTGGATGGGAAGGGAGGGAGAAGGGGAAAAAGGGGCATTACAATTAGCACACATAATATAGAGAGTGGGCACAGGGAAGTCAGTATAGCATGGAGAAGACAAGTAGTGACTCATAGCATCTTACTACACTCATGGACAGTGACTGTAATGGGGTATGTGGTGGGGACTTGATAATGGGGGGAATCTAGTAACCACAATGTTGCTCATGTAATTGTATATTAATGATACCAAAAAAAAAAAGATGTATGTGTAGAGATGTAAGTTTCAGGGTGGAGCTTTAAACCTAGGACATTAACTTTAAAAACTTGGACAGATAACTGCTTTAAATACAATAGATAGAAAGTTGGTCCCTTGACTGTGAATGATCACAGGACTTTGATGACTTTGCTGTTATCTTGCAATTACTACAATTTCTTCATAAATACCTTTCCATTACACACAAAAAAGTGCCATATGGCAAACTTCTATTCTTGTTGCAAGAAAACCTGTATACATATGTGTAAAACAGCCCCCATCACTACTTGCAAAAGTACATTTTTTAAAAATATTTACTGATTGAAAAGTTTTTCAGTTTTGGATTCCAGAAAACTCAAGGAAATGCAATATAAAAACCTCTTAACACATATAAAGTGCCAAGATTACCTATGTTCCACTTACAGAATGGAATTCAAGTTTACTGAGCTTGACAATGAAAGAAAACACTAAATAGAATAAGGATAAATCTAAATGCAATTTTACTTATAATATTAATAAATCAGATATATTTGATGAGAGGCAATTTTAAATGGTTCTGTATGACTCAACCTCTCTATCAACATAACAGATTTTGATAGAGCTGCGTAGAAAAGATTTAATTGAATTTTCAAATTCAATATAGGGTTCACTCAACAGCTTACAAAACATGATAAGCAGAGCACTTGCTCAGCTTTTCCTCCACTGCTTCTAAATCTTATTTATAAAAGTTTAATTTCAGCATAATTACATGAGTTAATCCAGTGAACAGTGAGTCTGATTGTACACATTTTCTTAGTATCTCAGGAGAACTTCAGCTCTGTCTTTCGCATATCATAGCGCCACAGTGAGGAATTTAATGACCAACCCAACCATCTCCTTTACAATGGTTTAAAGCAAGAAACATTTTATTAAAATGTGAATCACAGGTAATGTGTTGGTCATAACCTATGAAGTATAGTCATCTCCTAGTTAAACACAAAATAGAAATTTTCTCTTCATAAAATTATTTTTGTAAAGAGGAGAAGAGCATTCTAATAGTGATTTCTCCTCACTGCATTATTTTCATATTAATGCCCTTCAAAGGCTTTGAGTCAAACAAATGTGTTCAAGCTTGTTTGTACCACTAGTAAGGCACTTGAGAAATTATTTAAGTATTGTGATCCTAGTTTCTCATCTGTAAAATAAGAATGATAATATTGCTCTCCTCAAAAGGTTATATGAATTATAAATAAAATTAAGTAAGCTTTTAACATGGTACCTATCACATAGTACGTGCTCAGACGGGGGGATCAGAAAACATTCCTGAAAGGTAATAATAATAATAAAAGTGACAGCAAGAATAATGACACTGTACTAAATATTTACATGTATTATCTCATTTAATTTTAAAACAATAATATAAGGTGAGTACTATTGTTACTTCTGTTTTGCAGATGAGCAAAATGAGACACAAAGGGCTTTCAAGAAACTTGTTAACATAGCACAGCTAATAAAAGTGCAGAGATTGAATAAAATAGCAGCATTATCATCATATTATTATCCTCATCATCACCATTATCAACCCGTCCTGAGATCTCTGTAGCAGACTAGGCTATAAAAATGAATTCTTGAGTACTTCCAAAGATAACTGTCTCCCCTTGGAAAGAATCCAGAACAAGCCCACATTAAGCTAAATTCTGCATTAGAGTGGGCTGTTATACAGTTGGGAGGATTTATTCCAAGCACCTAGAAGACACATAAAAGATGAATAGATAGAATATGTCAGATTTTCCCTTACTTTTAAACATATCCCAATGCAATGAAGGGAAGGAGGACAATATCATTTCATCCCTTACACAAAGGCATTTTTTTTTATCTTGGTATCATTAATATACAAATACATGAGCAACATTGTGGTTCCTAGATACCCCCATTTTCAAGTTCCCACCACATATCCCATTACAGTCACTGTCCATCAGTGTAGTAAGATACTATAGAGTCACTTCTTGTCTTGGTGTTATACTGCCTTCCCCATGCCCCCTCCTACATTATGTGTGCTAATTGTAATGTCCCTTATTCCCCACAAAGGCATTTTTAAACATTACTGCAATTAGCTCATCTAGTTGTCAATACCTAAGGAATCACACACAGAGTCAAAGATGGACATGCACACCTTGCATGAAGTATGTTCTGCATTATTAATGAATTATAAAAATGAAAAGTATTTTAGTGTAAACATATAAGTCTACAGAAAGGGATTGAAAATAAGAAGGTAGAGTTTAGTCAAGCTGAATTCTATAAAGCTTTTTAAGTTATTCACTCATTATATCTCCCCTATCTATTTAATTATTAAAAATAAATGTATAAGTTGAAGTATTTTGGATATAAATAATGAATGCACATTTTCTTAAAAAATACTTCAATGACTTATCATATATATTTAATCATTTTAAAACATTCATATAAAAGATGGGAATTGGTGATTTCATAGAAACATCTTAACACATTATTTAACTAGATTACAGATAAACAGAATACAATATTAATATAAACACATTCTCATTTATTCTTTCAAAAACCTAAATGAAATCTTCCAGATTTTTAATAGTAGAAATTTCTAAAGTGTTTCAAATGACTTTTAACTTTATTTTTGTAATTATCATCAATAGACATTTAAAGCATGCTGCGATTTTTCTTTTAACCCAATTTAAAAACATTACTATTAAGGGTGCCTGTTCACTAATAAATTTAGAAACATTCATAAAAATTGGAGGAATTAAAAACACTTGTTGTTCCTGGAGACTCAACAATGTTATAATTAATATTTGGAAGACTTGATAGATAAAGCCAAACACCAGTAGAGCATTTCATAACAAGACTGTTAATGGAAAAATCACCTGAATATAACATCTGATCACTAAGGAAAATATACTCAAAGGTATTAGAATGTCGAGTTTTCACATCTCAAAACTGCGCCACCTCCTACGTGACAATCACATTCCTCCCATGCTATGTAGGAAAAATCAAAAGCAAGACCTCACCACCCCCAACTACTTTTCAGAAATTCTCTTTTCACTTCTTGACACATTTGGAGGTCCATCTCAGGTCAAGATCAGACACTAGGAAGGATACCCTTTGAATGGACTTATTTCCCCTCTTCTTTGTCATATCCTCTTAGTTGAGCAAACTGACTCAAACCTGGGCAGTCAGGAAGCAGGGAGGGAGGATGGACTAAAGGGAGCTAGCTAGACAGGGGAGAGGGCAGGGATTTTTATCACCCAACAGACTCTATAATGGATCATTTGTGTTTATATACTCCCAATTAACTAGTGGTCATATCTCTAGTTATGATTGTTTTAATCACGATTGAAGCCCAGTTGAAAATTTTAGATATTTAGCAGTTGAGATGAAAATCTGGAGTCAGAAAGCACAGGATTTTAATCCTTTCATATACTCCTTCACATACTCACTATGTAACTGGGGCGGTTACTTAGTGCCTGTGAGCTGCTGAGTTGAGATCTGCAACTAAGGGTGACAGCATGATTTCATGGAATCATTGTGAGAATTCAGATGCTTTCCTGGGCCTTACACTTAGAGGGTGGTTATTGTTATAATTACTTCTACAGGACACCATTAATTACAACTGAAATCCAGGGTCCCAGTGGCAGTGCCGGAGACCGACAAGCCTCAGATGCCTTTTGCTAACCTCTGGTTACCTGGCGGAGACCTCCCTTTTCACCCAAAGCTCTTATTCTTCTCCGAAAGTTTCCCTCCTCCTTCCCACAATCTGTAAAGCTAGAGCAGGCCTTTACTGCTTATTATTTGGTTAAAATTATTCACACTCAAGTATGCAAAAGGCCTCACAGAACTGTGGACTCTTGCTTTTTTCAACACCCAAATAATATATAATTGAGCTGTTGGGGGGCATTTTCTCTCTTTGTAAGGGAAAGCTCTGCTACCTTAAAAAAGTTCATAGCACAGTACTAGACATGATGATGAACAATATACCAGGATAAATTTAACTCCTCCATATTTTCTATATGACAGAGGTTTTTATAGAGGCAAAAGTTTACCAAATGGATAGCTGTCAAAAGAACCAGGACCTATCAATATTATACTGGCTTTCAAAATTTCACTGAAGTTACTCTTATGCTCAAAGGAATGTGTTAGCTCTACAAGAACAGGGATCTTGTCTGTTTCCTTCATGGATCTAGCTGAAGCACCCAGAATAGTTCCTGGTACACATACTCATGTGTTGAATAATAATAAACATATGTTGAAAATCACATAAAATATGTCATTAAACTCTTGCCCTTCTCTAGAAACTTGCAAAATCAATTGATAAAAGCAACTGCACTTTGATTTATTTTAAATCACAATAAAGTTATGTCCCAAG